TCTCTTTTGGTTTCTTGTAGTAGTGTTTTGTAATTTTCTTTGTATAGGTCCTTTATTTCTCTGGTTATGTTTATTCCTAAATATTTCATCCTTTGGGTGGCTATTGTAAATGGTATTGCTTGCCTAGTGTCCTTTTCAGCCCTGTCATTGTCACTATAGAGGAATGCAACTGATTTTTGTATGTTGATCTTATACCCTGCCACTTTGCTGAATCTTCCAATGAAGTCTAGTAGCCTTTTTACTAATGGTATATGGAAAGGATTATAATCATTGTAACAACACAATGTATATGATTTGTTGAATGTAAAACTGATGATCTGCCCTGTAAATTTTCTCTCAATTCACAATAAAATCTTTAAAAAAACAAAAACAAAAGAAGTAGCTATAAGTGCTTTGTTCATGGGAGGTAAACGACAGTAGCTGTCAAGTCAATCCTGACTCATGTTAACCCCGTGTGTGTCAGAGTTGAACTGTGCTCTAAAGAGTTTTCATGAACTCATATTTTGGAAGTAGATTATCAGGCCTTTATTCTGAGGACCCCCCAGGTGACTCAACTCTCCAACTTTTGGGTTAGCAATGGAGTAAGTTAACTATTTGCACCACCCAGGAACTCCTTGTGTGAGACAGCTCCATCAAAATGCAGCTGGCTCGCTACCTGAGGGCTCTATTGAGGAGACCCTAACTTGAACTCCTTTCTCTTGGCCCTTGCAATAAGGGCGTGTAGGGAAAGTGACTCGATACACTAACATAGTAGCACTAGTGCCAGGCATCACACCAAGCATTGTAAGTGAATTACCTCATTGAATTCCTTCAATAACCTGCTGTGATTACTATAAGCATTACACCTATTTATAGCTGATGAAAAAGAAGTTCTGAGAAATTAAATAACTTGTTCAGTGTCCAAGAACATTGTAAAGTTTGATTTAAACCCAGTTGTGTCTGACTCTAAAACCTGTGCTTTTGTTTTAATGTTTTTTATCTGTGGTATTCAAAGTATGGTCCTCAGACCACTAGATCAGCATCTGCTGGAAACTTGCTAGCAATGTAAGTTCTTGGGTCCCACTCAAGTCCTAGTGAATCAGAATCTCTGTTGATGGGGCTCAGTGATCTGAGCTTTTATCATCCCTCCTGGTGATCATGATGCTCTAGGTTGCATCCTACATCTTTACACAAGAGGCCTCCCTAAATAACTCAGCCTAAAAACCATTTAGAACACAGGGACATATCAGGAAGATATAGGTTATGTGTGAACCCCTGACCATGCCAAAGTCCCACCTGACATTTCTGTACCTTCTGGTTTCTCATTATGACAACTCTGGTGCTTTAAACATGTCTGTAGATTTGAGGGGTTGTTGCTGTTGTTAAGTGCCATCAAGTTGGTTCCAACTCATAGCAGCCTTGCATAGCAGGGGTTTGTTGTTGTTGTTAAGGGAAACCTTTCTTCTGTCAAGGATCATTTGGATATTTATAACATCCTTTGCCAGCCATATAAAATTTATCAACTTAAAAATTGGTCATTGTGTGATGTTGCGGGTTAATGTGCTGGACTGCAAGGCTGGCTGTTTAAGCCCACCAGTCGCTCCTTGGAAAGCTTATACAGGATCGCTATGACTCAGAATCAACTCAACGGCACTTAAAAACATCAACAAATATTTAGCCAAACATTTAATTAAGTCACCCTTAATGTGATGGCTCAAACTGCAGTTGCCTTGGCAGGGCCAGACCAAATGATTTTGAGGGCCTTATAAGGAGCTCTGGTAGAGTAGTGGTTACGAATTGGGCTGCGAACTGCAAGGTCAGCAGTTCAAAACTACCAGGTGTCCCACGGGAGAAAGAGGAGGCTTTCTGCTCCTGTAAAGATTTACAGCCTCGGAAACCTTGTACAGGGTCGCTATGAGTCGGCACCAACTCCACGGCACATAACAGCAACAACAACAACAACATACAGCCCACGGGCCAGATGTTCCCCACCCTTGCTGTATAGAGTTTCTGCGGAGTGACTGGTGGGTTTGAACCACTGACCTTAAGATTAGCAGTCCAGTACTCATCCTACAGAACCATACCAGGACAATTTGGGAAATAGGGAAAGAGAATTTTTTAAAAGAAAAAGGGAAAACTTCAAGTCTTTCTTGATAAAGTTGTATCACAGTCTGATCATTTTTGGTTTATTTGCTCTGTGGTTATGATGATCACTTGTAATCAGTTCTACTGTTAATATGTCCTTGGTCATTCTTTTAATCATTTATTCTACAAACATTTGTTGAGTGTCAAGCAGGTGGCAGTTACTTATTGTACAACGTGCTGGTGTTAGAACAGTGAGTTAGAGACCAACCCAGTCCACCTTCTCAGAGTCCATAGTAAACAGGCCATCGCTGAGAAGAGTGAAGAATGCTGCTTGGGAAAGGGACAAGACACTTTGGGAATACAAAGCTCAGGCCCTTCACCTAGACTTGCAGAGTGAGAGAAGGCTTATTGAGGGAGGTGAGGTTTAAACTGAGGTTCTAAAGAATGAATGAATACTAATCTGCCCATTGAAGGTAGTTGTATCAGTCAGAGTTCTTCAGAGTAACGGAAAAACATAATAAACCACTTGATGTCAAGTGGATTTGAACTCACAGAGACTCCACACCAGGACTCCAGTGCAATAGAGACAGAGAAATAGAGTTTAAGGATTGACTTACAAGATTGTGGAGGCTGGCCAGTGTGAAGTTTGTAGGACAGGTCCACAGGTTAGAAAGTTAAACAAGAGTTGGTATTGTAGTCTTGAGCCTGAAATCTGTAAGGTAGGCTTACAGGCTGGAAACACCAGCAGGAAATCTATGTAATAATCCTGAGGCACAATCCTTTTCCTGGAAACCTTATTTTTTGCCCTTAAGGCCTTCAACTGAGTGGATGATTGTAATTTCTTTGACTTTGAGTCAACTGATTGTTTGACTCAACAAGATACTAATCAGAACAACATCTAGACTGGTGTTCGACCAAACATCTGGGTATCGTAACCTAGCCAAATTGATGCTAAAATTAACCATCCCAGGTATAGAGCTGGTTTTCAATGATAGGGAAGAATGTTCCAGGCCAAGAAATATACACATGTAAAGACCCAGAGAAGAAAGAAAGACTAGCACAGGAAGGACTGAATGAGTTCATATGGCTGAAACCCTGAGTGTAAAGTATAGGGCATGAAGGAAAATAAGTCAGGAGAGAAAGGTAGAAGACAGTTGACCAGCCTCATAAACCTGGTTATAAAGTTTGAACTATAGCCATACAGAAATGGGAAAACATTTTCAGCAAAGACGTGAAAAGAAAATGTATTAGAAAGGTTGTTCCATACTACATGGGGAACAATTTTGTTGTTGTTATTGGATGTGTTATCATTGTCAGTGGACTGTTAGCTCTTGGAAATGTTACTTAGCCATTTCTCTCCTATATATCATCCAGTGTGACTAGTGTAATCCCTGCCCCACCCCCTACCAGGCCAAGTAAGAACTCAGGCTCTGCCTTTCAAACACAGGATCAGGTAATATGTTTTGTTCATTTGCATTGCTTTTATTATCCCATGAACAGAAGTAGGCCACTCCTCAGAGGTGTGTTCTGACTTCAGCATTGTCTCCTGGTTCTTGGTTTCAGGGTGCCTGTCCTTGCTGGTCACAGTCCAACACACAGAGCGCTATGTCACACTGTTTGCCTCGGTCATCCTCAAATGTGACTACACTACTTCTGCCCAGCTCCAGGATGTGGTGGTGACATGGCGCTTTAAGTCCTTTTGCAAGGATCCTATCTTTGACTACTACTCAGCATGTGAGTGTCTTTTGCCCTTGCTTTCACTGGGTCACAGGTACCTCTGTGAAGTGCTTACTGCTTCAGAGACTTGTTGTAAAGTGCCGTCAACTCATAGAAACCCTGTATAGGGTTTTAAATCTTTGCTGGAGCAGAAAGGCTCATCTTTCTCCTGCAGAACAGCTGGCAGGCTCCAACTGTGGACCTTGTGATTTGCAGTCCAGTGCTTACTGTATGGAGCCATCACATTCCCCGCTTTGTTGTTGTTGTTAAGTACCATTGCGTTGGTTCTGACTATAGCAATCCTGTATAGGGTTTTCTAGGAGCAGCTGGTGAGCTTAAATTGCCAACCTGGTGGTTCAAACCGACCTTGTGGTCCAGCACAGTAGCCCTCAGCATCACACCAGGACTCTATAGTAAAGCCATTTTGTTGTTAAGTGCCATTGAGTCGGTTCTGACTGATAGCAACCCTGTATAGGGTTTCCAAGGAGCAGCTGGTGAGCTTGCACTGCCGACCTTGTAGTTCAAACCGACTTTGCAGTCCAGTGTGCATTAGCCCAGAACACCAAGATCACTTAATGTAGGTCCCTTATTTTATAAATAAACAAACTAAACCCCTGGCTGATAAAAATGACTTTTAAAAAAGGCTTTTGCTGTTTTACTTATTTTAAAATATATAAATATTTTATTTATTTTAAAATATGATGTTCTTAAATGTTTTAAGGCAGTTCCGATATTAAATCAAAGGCAGAGTGAGTCCTACCTCCTGTTTTGTTCCTAGTTCCACATCAGTATCTTGAGATGATGAGGCAGACCCGTTACCACAACACCACATCAACTTAGAAAGCCAGCCCCCCCCGCCCAAAAAAAAGCCCTAGTGGTGCAGTAGATTAAGCACTAGGCTGATAACAACAAGGTCAGCAGTTCAAACCCATCAGCTGTGCCTCAGGAGAAAGATGAGGCTGTCTGCTCCCTTACAAAGTTAGCCTTGCGATCCCTAAGGAGCAGTTCTATTATGTCCTATAGGGTCACTATGAGTTGGAATTGACTCAGATGGCAGTAGGTGGGATGTTCCTCAGGATCTATGAGACCTTAGTAGTCATTGGTGAAACTTCCCATCCAGGGCCAGCTTCCCTTTGCAAACAGCTTTCCTGATGGATGGCCGGCCGATCATCCTCTTCTGAACAGACCCTTACTGGCAGAAGGTTGGACATTTTTTCCCAGTGCCACACAACTCCCTTCCAGTTTAGCCCAAACCTGCCTCTCAGTGATGACCGTTCTACTCACATCAGTTCTGTCATCTGGAGCCAAAGCTTCTCTCTGGCTGCCCCCTTCCCCTGCCCTCTCTTAAAGCAAAAAGGACTCCACATCCCCACCTGAAGATAGTTTTAGAAATTTCAAGAAAATAAATAGACACCCTGTGCGTAGCAAGGAAGTGAGCTTCATGAGGTAGAGAAGAGGAGGGGTGACATCAGCTTTACATTTTTGAGACCTGGGGTTGAGGTCTAAGAGTATGAATTAAGTAGAATCACAGAAGCTGACTGTCTTAGCCACTCACTGAACCTGACATGGCACCCATTAAGACCCATCTTTAATTGAGACATTGTTTCCTGGGAGTTAATTTTCAAATACCTGGATTGATCTGCCATAGGGAGATTTAACAGCTTTCAAACCTTATGGTGTTAAGAGCAGGTAGATGAACCCCATGGGAGCTGGGGCTAGGATAACTCAAATGATGAAGCAGGGAAGCTGGAGTGGGAGACAGGTGCCCTTTGATTGTTTAAATGGTTATATATTCCTGAGTGTTTTTGTGTACACCCCCCCCAAAAAAAAAAGAAAACAAAAACAAAAACAAAAAAACAGAGGGAATAGAAATAAATACTTTTGAGTGATGATGCACAGAGGGAATTGTAATCATTGCAGTGAAATGAAACACAATAGGATGAGTGTAAAACTGATGTTCTCCCTTGTAAACTATCACTCAATTCACAATAAAATGTTTAAAAAAGCAACAATGACAAACAACAACTCCCCAGAATCTGCATGTTTGACAAGATTCCCAGGATATTTGTAGGTTCAGTAAAAGTCGACAAGGCTCATTGCCCCAAGCAACACTCATTGCTTCCTTTCTTAATGGGAGTTCCCCTTTTCTGTCTCACTTTGGTGTGTTCTCTCTCCTCAGCATACCAGGCAGCTTTATCCCTGGGCCAAGATCCATCCAATGATTGTAACGACAATCAGCGAGAGGTCCGCATTGTGGCACAGCGGCGGGGACAGAATGAGCCTGTATTAGGAGTGGATTACAGGCAGCGCAAGATTACCATCCAGAACCGTGAGTGTCGGGGAGGCAGCAGAGGAACTGGATGTAGGAGAGCGAGTCGGACACCAGGCTGAATCAGCTTGGGGATTTCCCTTTTTTTTTTGCCTGCTAGCTGATGGTCTAGTTGATCACTATCATTGTTTAAGGAAAGTGCCAGATTCATAGATTGTGCTGTGCCATCTGAAGTTATTCCCCCAGAAGCTGATGTGTATACCAGGGGATGTCCTATAGCTTTGGCTAAAGCTCTGAGAGTAGGTGGTTTCCCACTAAAATTTGTTTCCCTTCTGGTCACTACCATTGTCTGTATACAAGGAAATAGGGTTTTTCAAGATGGCTCCCTCCAGTCCACAGCTCTCCATTGATAGAGGATTTGTATTGACTCATTAGCTCAGTGACCAGTGGCAGATCAGTTTTATTGTCCTCTATTGCTTCATCTCTTAGTGAGGATAATGGTATTCATCTGTCTGCTCTAAAATGAATATGAAATGTCCTATCTAAGAACTGTGTCTATAGTGTATCTATTTGTTTGTGCCTAGGATAGGGAGGATTGACTAGAGCTCTGGCTCTGGAGTCAGACATGGGTCCACAGTCTGCACTCACTTTCTGGGTGAACTTGGGCAAATGGTTTCACCTTTAAACCTCAATTTTTATAAAATGAAAATTGCAATAGTACTTACTTTATGGGATGGGACAGTGATAAATGGGATAATATGTATAAAGAACTTAGCAAACAGTAAGGATGTTAGTAAGTGCATGTTAGTTATGATCATTCAGTACACTTTTAGATGCATGGGTTAGCACTCCACATTCTTATTTTGTATTCCAGGATTTCTGCAGTAGGTTGTTGGCATGGAGATATCAGAATCTATTTTATGTGCTGTGATAAGTCAATATTTGCTGGTTAAAAGGAAAGAAGGGAGAAAATATACTCAGCAGGCCACTCGGGGTATCTGTAGTTTTAAAGTGAGGAAATTAGTCAATGTCTAGGACTGTTTAGAAGTAGATCATTGAAATGATACCAGCTTGGCAGTTGCTTCCAACTTGACTCTCAGACTTTTAATTAGAATCCTTTTATATTTAACTTCTGATTTCCTCAAGTCAGCACTCAAACCTTCAGCCTTAGGGAACATCTGCCTCCTCGACTCTCCAAGTATAATCTCAAGAATTCTGGGTACTTCTGCTTTCTCTAGAGCCAGTTCTAATCTGTCCCAAGGTTTGTTGTTGTTAAGTGCTGTTGAGTTGGTTTCAACTCATAGTGACCCCTATATAGCATTTCCGAGGAGCAACTCATGGGTTTGAACTGCCAACCATGTGGTTCAAACTCCAGTGCTGATCCTACAGCACCACACCAGGAGTCCCCTCCTAAGGTTTACAATCTGTTTAATTAAGCAAGTCTGCCTTCCATTTTCTGAAGAATGAAATCTTCATTGATGATAGTCCCTGATCTTCTGTCTTTTTCCTTTTCCCCCCTAATTTTGAGCTGGACCATCAATGGGTGGTCCCTGAATCCCAACAACCTGTGAATCCAAACTTGCCTCTTTATTACTCCTACAGGAAATTGTTATACCCCTTGGCTTTTATTTCTGCCTCAAGGCTTCCTGAAACTCCTGTTTGCTGACACTTTAAATTCCTGTGTTTGCATCATTTGAGATGACACTGTTGAATCAGCCACCCCCCGCCCCCCCTCTTTTAAAATATTCACATAAGAGTCAGACCAACCTTATCCTGACATCCCTAAAACACTCTAAAAAAAAACACCCTAAAAAATCTCCACTAAACATTGGAACAGACATACAATACACATTCCTCTTTAAAAGGGAAATTTGTCCCAAAGCACTTTCACCCTTCCTTCAAGTCTGGAAAACTTATTTCTGGGGAAAGTAAAGGTCTGGGCAACTGTCGGAAAAATATCATAGGAATTGACGTAGAAAGAGAAGGAAACGGAATTCAAAGTTTGCAAGAATGTTGCATGACCTCACATTTTTGTTTCATTTCCTTTTTGACAAACAGTTAAAGAATTAGAGATGTGACCCCCGATAAAAATTCCAGGCTGATTCCTAGCACTTACTGGAGGTTAATCCGGGCATCCTTTATGCTGAGACTTGGAAGCTGTCTCCATGCTACAGACGGGACTTGTTCCCCATACCTCACATAATGCCAGACCACTAGAGGTCTTTAATAATATTTGTTGAATTTGTTAAATTTGCATATGGTGATGGTGGCTATGTGCCGTGGAGTCTGTTCCAACTCGTAGCAAACCTGTACAGGGTTTCCGAAGCTGTAAATCTTTACAGGAGCAGAAAGCCAAATTTTTCTCCTGCTGAGTGGCTGGTAGATGCGAATGGTCAACCTTTCAGTTAGCAGCCCAACTCATAACCCACTATGCCACCAGAGTTCCTTAAATTTGAATATATACACTATCACCTATTTATCTTAATGAGATTGCATAAAACTTGATGCTCAGAGAACTGGAATTCTTTCCTTGGTTAATATTTACTCTTAAAATATTGATACTTCATTCTTAGCTATTTGAGCTCATCTTATCTGTCCTTTCAAGATCCAGAGGCATCTCCTTATTTTAGTCTGGTCAGGATTCCAGGTTGTGGAGTTTTTCATCCAGTTTAAAGAGGACAGAGCTAAATGTAACCTGTAGCTATACAAGGGGGTTTCAGAAAGTTTCTGGAATTTTTGAATTTAAAGATAGTAGAAATTTTCCATGAACTTTTTGAAGTCCCCTCATATTTATTGACCTCTTAGTAGTTCAGAGGAGTCCTGGTGTGGCACTGTGGGATCAAACACTGGACTGCAAAGTCAGTTTGAACCACAAGGTATACAGTTTAACCTCACCAGTGCTTCTTGGAAACCCTATACAGGGTTGTTATGAGTCAGAACTGACTCGGTGACACTTAACAATAACAGCAACAAGTGTTTCAGAGCACCAGCCTTGAGGAAGGGAAACGTGGTTATGAACCTCCTCTGATTTGAACTATGAACTATGCATTTTAGTTATGGTGTTGGAGAAGAATGTTAAAAAGTATCCTGGACTGCCAGAACAAACAAAATTGTCTTGGAAGAAGTAACAGTCACAATGCTCCTTAGAAGCCAAGTTGGTGAGACTTCATCTCTCATACTTGGTACATATTATCAGGAGGGGCAAGTCTCTGGAGAAGGACATCATGTGTGGTAAAGTGGAGGGTCAGTGAAAAAGAGGGAGATCCCTAATGAGATGGATTGACACAGTGACAGCAGCAATGGGCTCAAGTGTAACAACAATTGTGAGGATGGCGCAGGACCAGGTGACGTTTTGTTCTGCTGTATAGACCGTCACTATTAGTTGGAACCGACTTGACAGCACCTAACAGCAACGATAACAACTAGTGTGGCGCTGTGGGATAAAGCACTGGACCACAAGGTCGATTTGAGCCACAAGGTCAACGGTTCAAACTCACCAGCCACTCCTTGGAAACCCTAGACAGTCTTGCTATGTATTGGGACTGACTCGATGGCACTTAACAATGACCTATATTAACGATATAATTAAGACAGAATATAGCTTCTTTGAATATTGGTTTCTCATCTGCAAATGAGGCTAATAGTCATTACCCTATATCTGTCAAGACTAAATTTGTCTGCAAGTAAATAAAAATCCAAGCTAACAGTGGCTTAAACAATAAAGAATTCTGTTTCTCTCTCTTGTATAAATTCAGGTGTAGAAAGTACAGAACTAGTGTGGTGGTTCTGTTCCAACTGTCCTCAGAAACCCAGACTCCTTCTAGCTTACCAAGGATGTCATCTTCTTCCTCTTGGTCCAATAAGATACCTATCATATTTGCTTTCCAGATAGATTAGCCGAAGAGCAGAAGAAGAAAGAGCAATGGTGTTCATGGATTGAGTTTTAGAAAGATACTGGGAGCCAGCACATGCTGCTTTTATCCCTTTGGTTAGAACCAAGTTACATGTCCATGTCCATCTGAGAGAGGATGGGTAATACTGACTTTACATGTAGTCTCCGGTTTACGATCTAGTCTAGCTATGATGAACCACACTTATGACCATTCTTTTTGTGTGTTTATTGTTGTTGTTGTTGTACATCTTATCAGTAAGGAGTCACTGGACTGCTAACCACAAGGGCGGTGGTTCAAACCTACCAGTCACTCCTTGGAAACCCTATATTGGGTCTATATGAGTCAGAACTGATTCCGTGGCACTTAACAAAACAAAATGAAATCATTAGTAAGATTAGTAAGGGTCCTGAAGTAGTGCTATAGGATAAGCATTGGACTGCTAACCACAAGCTAATTGCAAGGTTGGAAATTCAAACTTACCAGTCATTCCTCAAAAACCCTATATAGGGTTGCTATGAATCAGAACCAATTTGACAGCACTCCTGGTGTGACCCTGTAGGATCAGCACTGGACTGCAAATCACAAAGTCAGTAGTTCAAATCCACAAGCTGCTCCTTGGAAACCCTATACAGGGTCGCTATGAGTAGGTACCAACTTGATGGCACTTAACAATAGCAACATCATTAGTATGTACTACATACAATGTTGCAGCATGTAATTTTCTAATGTTATCATATCTGTAAGTTTATATATAACATTTCCAATACCCCAAAACAAATGAAGATTGGATTTATAAAGATATGGATAATAAAAGACAGTGATTTTTTTTTTAAATTAAGTATTCAACTTATGTCAGAACCCATCTACAATGGAGTCTCTGATACAGAACCCTGTCATAAATCGGGGACTACCTATACTCTGAATGGTCATGTGCTTGGCCAAAATTCTATGATGAAGAAGAAGAGGAGAATAAATATCAGAATACAACTCAACCACTTAGAGAATTGTGGTGAGAATGTAAAATATCTAAAATCCTTACAACATGCATGGAAAGGCTCAATGAAAGATCGATTCTACCATCATTCTGTGGTTTAGAGGAAGAGGAAGGTCTCAGAGGAAGGTATCAAGATCATTCTCTGAACTGTCAATGGCCCTTTTAAGATGTGGAAGAACAATGCTGAAGCTTCCATGAGTCAGAAACCAGTGCCCTTTCCTCTGACCACTGACATGTCCTCTCTCTTTCCTGTGCAGGAGCAGATCTTGTGATTAATGAAGTAATGTGGTGGGATCATGGAGTGTATTACTGCACCATTGAGGCACCAGGGGATACGTCAGGTGACCCAGATAAAGAGGTGAAGCTCATCGTCCTGCGTAAGTGCTGCTGGAGTTTTCTACTTGCCCACCACACTATTGTGACACTTTTATATACAGGAAAAAAAAATAAAACAAGCAAACTCGGGTTATTACTGTTGGATTGCCAACATCTGAAGCTCTCTTATGAAAACCAAACTGGTTTGTTTTTTCCCCAGCATATTGTTCAATCTTAACCTATAGGTCAAGAGCTGTATTTATTTAACGTCTAGAATGCTGAAACTAGAAGCATCCTCCTGGATATTTAGTTTATCACTGCTGGGCGTTTCCCCTGCAGATTGGCTGACAGTGATCTTCATCATTCTGGGAGCCCTCCTCCTGCTGCTGCTGATTGGAGTGTGCTGGTGCCAGTGCTGTCCACAGTTTTGCTGCTGCCACATCCGCTGCCCCTGCTGTCCTGCCCGCTGCTGCTGCCCTGAGGAAGGTGAGAGGGGAAGAATGATGGAAGGGATAGTGCCCAAACAAACTGGCTTCACAGGACCAGATCAAAATCCAGAGCCGTTCCAGGTTCTTCACCATGCTTCCCTCCCATCACAAGCTCAGAGGACTCTAGCCTCAGCCATGAAAATGATGCTGTAGGACCACATGGAAAGTGGCTGCTCGTTCACTTCCTAGGCTATCAGACGAAGCCTCTTTAAATCAGATACTTCTGTCTACTGATGACATATCCATGGTACTGGGGTGCCTGACTCTAGTACTTGCTCCTAGCACTGACCTTGAGACGGCTGGAGAGAAGAATTTGAATGTAGCAGTGAGAGAGAAGGCAACCCTTTAGAAATGACTAGAAAAGAACAGCTCAGAGGAGAATGGTGGTAGGGCAGTGGTTCTCAAACTTAAACTCACATTGGAACCACTTGGAGGACTTGTTTCAACTTAATTGCTGGCCACACCAGCATGGTTTCTGACTCACTTGATCTGGAGTAGGGCCTGAGAAGTTGCATTTCTCCATAGTTCTCAGGTAAGACTGATACTGTTTGTCTGGGGTCTGGGGTGTCACGTTTTGAGAACTTCTGTGTTAGGAGAGGCCTGGTGGCACTGTAGGGTAAGCACTGGGCTGTTAACTGCAAGGTTGGCAATTCAGACCCACCAACTCTGAGTCAGAAACGACTCTACGGCAGTGGGTCTGGTTTTGAGTTTGTGTTCTAGGAAACAAAGAAGGAACAGAAGATCTCATTTTTAATGTGATCTTTAAGGGGCTGAAATTTGGCCCTTTAAACAGAATTATGACATTTCTTAGAAAAGTTGGCTACAGAATACAAAAGAATAAAAAACTATTCTACAAAAAATCTTTTCTTAGTATACAGATGAAGTGGAATGAGTTGCTCTAAATGGTAGTGGTTCTATTTTTGTTTTAAATAATATTTCTTTTCCTGGTAATGTAAGTAAAGCACTGCATTGTAGAAAATTTGGGATATAGAGGAAATTGTAAAGACTAATCTGAACACCCAGCAATAACCAGTCTGACTGATGATTTGGGCCCATTTGAAAGGAAATTTTTAAGTAAGGAAACATCTTTTAAAATGGAAGGAAAAAAAACAAAAACCCTACAGAAGCTACGATGCCAAGAAGGTCATTTGCCTGAGTTTGGTTTTAGGCCTGTGTTCTGAGGTCACTGCATTACAGGAAAAGGGAAGTAACTTCAGCTGGATGTCTACTATGTGGAGGCTGTTTAGATACCATATTTCCCCACTGAATGCTCACAACAACCCTAGAAGGCAAGTCACCCCTATTTAATAGATAGGAAATTGAGGGTCAGAGAATTACATAGGCAGTAAGTGGCAGCAACAGTACAGTATCCAAGTTCACCTGATTTATGAGTGACTTTTTTCCCACCACAAGGCCTATCATGACCACTGTGTGTAGATCATCATCGGATGGACTGAGATACTGGTGAACTCCTGAAAGAGAGGGACAGTAACAAAGAACTCAATCTGTGTTGTTGTTGTTGTTACTAGGTGCCATCAAGTTGGTACCGACTGCTAGCAACCTTATGCACAACAGAATGAAACATTGCCCGGTCCTGTGCCAATCTCATAATCATTGCTATGTGTGAGCCCATTGCTGCTACTGCTGTACCAATCCATCTCTTTGGGGGCGTCTTCCTCTTTTTCCCTGACCTTCCACTTTACCAAGAGAGACTGGTCCCTCCTAAAAACGTGTCTGAATTATGAGACATGAAGTCTCACCATCCTGACTTCTGAGGAACATTCTAGATGTATTTCTTTCAAGACAGATTTGTTTGTTCTTCTGGCAGTCCACGGTACTTTTAATATTCTCCGACACCATAACTCAAATGCATCAATTCTTTGATGGTCTTCCTTATTTATTGTCCAACTTTCACATGCATATGAGGCTACTGAAAATACCACGGTTTGGGTCAGGCGTACCTTAGTCCTCAAATTGACATCTTTGCTCTTCAACACTTTGAAGAGGTCTTGTGCAGCAGATTTGTCCAATGCAATACGTCATTTGATTTCTTGACAACTGCTTCCATGATTGTTGAGGGGTGATGAGCTGTGGGGTTCTTATCTTTGAGGGGCCTCAGAGAGACATGCCATGGAGAAGGCACTGTTACTTGAGTGGTAATACGATAAAAGAAATGAGAAAAAGCCTTCTCCCAAGATGCCATCTTAGAATGTATAGGTCATAGGACACTAAAGATAAGCAGAACAGGGAACAAAGCCAGCATATATAATAACTTCATCGACTATAACTGATTGAGCCCTGGTTGACAAGTTGGGCTGCTAACTGCAAGGTCAGCAGATGGAAACTACCAGTCACTCCAAGTGAGAAAGATGAGGCTTTTTGTTCCCATAAAGATTTACAGCCTCAGAAACCCTATACAGGTCACTATGCATCGGAACTAACTCGATGGCACACCACCACCCCCACCAGCAGCACTGTCACTAAGCTGGTACACAGAGTTTCTGGGGAGAGGGCTCTTCTGAGCAGTTAGGGTTTATTTAAGAGAACTGGTAAAACAAAGAAATACATGCCACAAATAAAGATCCCAGGGTTTGAGCAGCTGAGGTCACTTTCAAAGCGAATCATTAGGGCAGATGGTCCTGAGAAGTTGAGTGACAAGAGGAGATTGCATAGAAGGGGCAGGAGTTATTCAGGAAAGCTCTTTAATGGGCGATGGTTTGATTTTTAAAATCAGAGAACCCTAAGCAAGGTTAATAGAAAGTAAGTAGAGTGCAGCATTAAGAAGTGAGGTAGTCCCGGAAGAGTGATGAAGACAGTGGGAGGTACATCAGGCCCACAGTGAAAGTACTGACTTTGGAAAGGAACAGAAAAGGCAACCCGACCTCTGCGCAGAGAGGGGAAGTTATTAAATGTGAAGGGTGAATAAGATGCAAGGGAGGAAGCTGATTCCTTAGCTTGCTCACCCCAGTCTATCTTAATTTCAATAAATCAAAATTTCAGACCCACAAAGGAGCGTTGAGAATGATGTTCAGTGATTCTTAAAGTTCTCTGACCATAGCATGCCTCTCCACTTTTCAGTGAGAGTTAATAAAGGACCATACATGCATACACACATGCTTACATGCCAGTTGTCATCAAGTCCATTCTGACTCATAGCGTGTCAGAGTAGAACTGAACTCCATAGGGTTGTCAATGGATGACTTTTTGGAAGTCGATTACCAGGCCTTTCTTCTGAGGTACCTTTGGGTGGACATAAACCTCTAACTTTTTGGTAAGCTGTCAAGGATATTAACCATTTGTACCACCCAGAGACCAAAGGACTATGTTGTTATTGTTTTTAAGTGCCGTAGAGTCGACTCTAACTCATAAGGATCCTGTATAGGGTTTCCAAGGCTGTAAATCTTTGAGGGAGCAGAAAGCTTCATCTTTCTCCTGTGGAGCAGCTGGTGGGCTCAAACCACCAATCTTGTAGTTCACAGTCCAGTGCTTATCCTATAAAACCACCATGCTCCCAAAGGACAATATTGTTCTTGTTGTTCAGTGCCTTCGAGTTAGTTCTGACTCATAGCGTCCATGTACAGGGTTTCCAAGGAGCAGCTGGTGTATTTGAACTATTGTTGTTGTTGTTGTTGAGTGCCATCGAGTCGGGTCCGACCCATAGCGACCCTGTACAGGGTTTCCGAGGGTGTAAATCTTTACGGGAGTAGAAAGCCTCATCTTTTTCCCGCGGAGCGGCTTGTAGTTTCGAACCGCTGACCTTAAGGTTCGCAGCCTTCTGATAATTCAGTTAGTTCTACTAAACAAGCCACCATAGAACTCAGAGATGCACGTTTTTAAAGTGTGCCTTGTTCTTCCATGAAAACAGAAGAAACTCTTACTGGTTCTTCCCCTTAGAAAATCCTCTGGGCTCGCCATGTAGGGGGCCACAGGCCACATTGAGAATCTCTACTATACGCCAGTCCTCCCCACCCACGCAGCTGAGGGAAGTGAGACCCAGAGAGACTTCTGCACATGACACAGCTTGTTCGTAGTAGGTCCTGGTCGTGGTAGGTCTAGTGACTAGACCCACGTCTATTGGTTCCATGTCCAGGCCTGGTTCTTCTTCTTGAACAAAGATGATGTCACGATAAGAAAACTCATGGGGAAGGGAGACCTGAGGAGCGGGGAAACCGTAAACTGTTGTAGAGGAAGGGAGGCAAGGTCAATAGAAGATCAGTCAAAGATGGGCTTGTTGAGAGGAGGGCCTGAATAGGTGACACGGGCAAGGAGTGGAGGAAGCATGTGCTGGTGGTTCCCTAAGGCTGAGAAATGGCAAAAGTTCCAAGAAGCATGGGGTTCTAGAAAGTTCCTAAGGATATCACTGAAATGGCTGGCCTATAAAGTTAAAGGTGACTGATAGACCATAACAAGAACAACAACACAAAAAAACCCACTGCCATTGAGTTGATTCTGACATATATTGTTTTTGTTATGTGCTGTGGAGCCGGTTCCGACTCATAGCGACCCTGTACAGGGTTTCTGAGGCTATAAATCTTTACGGGAGCAGAAAGCCTCATCTTTCTTCTGTGGAACAGCTGGTAGTTTTGAACTGCTGACCCTGAGATTGGTAGCCCGATTCATAACCACTACGCTATAGGGTAAACTATAGCATAACCACAGAGCAATAGGGTTTTCGAGACTGTAAATGTTTATCGAAGCAGATCATCTCATCTCTCTCCCACGAAGTCACTGGTGGATTTGAATTGTCAACCTTGTAGTTAGCAGTCCACTATTTCATCTACAGCACCACCAGGGCTCCTTAAATGTGTCTGATAGTATGAGGAAAAGGAGAAGGACTGAGTGGCAAGGAGTCAAAAGGGAGACAAAAGGACAAGATCTGTAAGAGTGGAAGGGAATTGTAAGCAATAAGTAATTTGAGCAACTGCAATTAGAGATCTTTAAAAGGAGCCAGTTCTGCATGGTGACGGCCACAGATCATGCTTACTACAGAATAGGAGA